CGGTGGTGAGCCTGCCCAGGCCCAGTGGCGAGGCCGGCCGTGCCTACCGGTGGTGCGGTGCGAGGCCGCCCGACTGCGTGGCTCCAGCGCCGCGGGTTCCCCGTGTCTGAACGTGCGCGCGCGCGCTCGGCGGGTCCCCCAACCCGCCTGTTGTGTTCGTTGTGTCTTGGAATTAAGATGTTGCAGATAACGTTGAGAACGACTTAGTGTGCTCCCTCCACCCCAGCCCTCATAATTATTAATGCCTGATTGCTGTAGGGAAACTGAAAATGCTAAGGACTGGCAAGGAATGTAATAGTTACGGAATCCTTCTATCTACAGTCTTTCTGACGCAGCATGTACTAGCTTTTACTTTAGCAAAGACTGTGCCTATTAAGTTTCCCGTGTCCATTTCACAACTCTTCCTAAATATCATTTCTAATTTTGTCTTCTTTTCGTTGGCTGTCCTTTCATCGTTGTATTGGTCCCATAAATTATTTAGTCATTTGTCCACCTGTAAGACATTTAGGTTGTTTTGAGTTTTTACCTCGTTTTACCATTTAGTATACTATTTTGTTGAATCTAAATATACTTCAGATTATTTCCTTGAATTAGATTCATAGAAGTGTAGTCATTGGATTAGATTCTCTGATCTAATAAGGCCTTAAGGTCTGTAGATGATTTTTAGAGAAAGTTCTAGTAGTTTATATCATTCATATTTGATTGCCCCTGTCTCACCAGAAACTTGGTAGCGCCTAATACCTTTCTAACACATAAAACCAGTTAACCAGGGCCTCTCTTGGAATTTTCATCATCATTGTATTAGTGAGAGTCGTGTGGCAATTTTGTCTGCTTGCTCGCTTGCGTTTGTGTAGTTTTCAGAGGGGGTGCGAGGGGTGCTTTATTGAAGTGCGCACAGACTGACTAGAGCAGAAAGAGACTTGGTGGTCATCTAGCATAACTCCCTTATTTTGCAGATGAGGAGCCTGGGGCCATGAGAGGTGAAGTGATGAGTTACTCAAGTCACACAGCTAATTAAGTAGCAGAGCTGCAATTAGAACTCAGGTTTCCTGCCTCTCAAGTGAGTACCCTTACCTGCTGCGTAGGTGTTCTCGCACTGAACTGTGGCATAATAAGATATCGGAGTTTTTGAAAAGTGCATCACCGTTTAGAATTGTGCTGAGTAACAGATTTTAGTCCTCTGAGGGAACCGTAACAGTGAAAAAAGAGAGACTGACCACTTTCCTGTCAGGACTGAAAATCCCTTTGTTAGAATGGCAACCCCCATCTAGATTTTTACAGTAGTTTTCAGAATCTCTGTATGTTAGAATAAAATATTCCTAATAAGTTATATAGCTGCCCCTCAGTATCTGAGTAGGATTAGTGTCAGAACCCCCAGCAGATAGTAAAATGTACAGATGCTCAAGTTCCCTAAGCAAGTGGCTTAATATTTACATATATGTATCAACCTCTCATATAATTCAAGTCATTTCTAATACTGTGTTGTTTAAAGAATAATGACCAAAAAGTCTGTACATGTGCAGTGCAAGTACAACTGTAATGGAGCTACTGGAATTTTTTAAGAAATATTTTTGGTCCCCATTCATCTGAATCCATAAAAAGCCCGTTGATAGGGAGAGATGACTTAATTTATATCCCATGGTCTAGTTAGAACACAGTTATTACTTCTCATTTATTACACCTTGAAGATTTTTTAGAACTCCTTGTTGCTTTAGGGTTAGAGCATTTTCTTTTTTCATTTTTATTATTAGTGCTTGAAGCGACATTTCTCAACTTCATTTGATGTTTTTGGACCAGATAATCCTTAGCTGTGGAGGGCTGTCCTGTGCATTGCAGACTGTTCAACAACATCCCTGGCCTCTGTCCACTAGATAGCAGTAGCACCACCCTCCTCAGTCATGGCAGTCCAGAATGTATTCAGACATTTCTGTGTGTTCCTGAGTGTGGGGCATAAAATTACCTCTCTTTGAGATGCAAGGGCTTATTAGGATGCTCTGGGGGAATTTGATAAAACGTAAACTGTAGTGCTTCTTGCCAGAGTTGACTATAGGAACCTGCATACTAACAAATCCACATCTCTGTAGACTTGGGTGCCTCAGATTTTTGAATAAGCCAGAAGTGTTTCTATTTTCCTTTCTCCTTTTGTTATTTGGTGGTCAGTAATAGAGATGGTACAAGATTGGTAGCTGTTAAAAGAACACACATTGTCCTATACTAATGCCTGTGCCTGTAGGTAGGCAGGAGCAGAGAAGGGATAATACAAAGGATTTTCTTGGCACTGGTCTCAGATGGCTTTTCCCCCAGATTTAAACGATCTACTTAGGTATGGGTGATACCAGGTGACTAAGACATTCCTTGTCCTAGGGTGGTTTAGAGCCCATATTAGGATCCTGGTTGTCAAACAAAAATGACAGAATAGTCTGAGAAGGATGTGTCTGAGAATGGAAAGGTTGCAGTGCAGGAACTCCTTGGCCGTTGCGAGCAGGGAAAGAAATAGCCTTCCAGCATGGGAAGGAAGAATTGGATGAAGCACACGGAACTGTTCTGTTATCCAGATGCGAAGTAGCTGGCTTGCCTTTAAAGCTGTTTTCACTGTGTGATGCCCCCTTCAGACGCTGATAGACTGGTGCAGTGCTGCATTTACTTGAGTTGTAATATGATGTCTTGTAGCTTTTTGCTTTTAAAATTTTATTTTGCCCTCAACTATTAATACTCTAGAATGGGTAAATATTTACAAGTAAACATTGCCTAGAAATAAAGATTTTCATCTTAATAGGACAGCTCAAAATATCACATATACATCTCTTTCTGTTCAGCCATTAAATTTTACAAGCTAATCATAGTAGTGTGTCACTAGAAATTTTATCCACAGTCTGTGACTCTCCAGCCAGAGCTCTCGTTGTCTTCAAGGCCATGCCACAGAGATAACAGGAAGGTTGACAAATCCAACAGGGATTGTTCTGTGCAAGGAGCTTGGGCTCTGGGCGCAAGCCTTGGTTCTGCTTTCCACCACAGAGCATATCTCTTGAGAAATGCTTGTGAATCCAACATGGCCTGTCATATTTTTTAAAAGTTACCTGGATAGTTTACGGATGTTCTCATAGTAGACTACTTAGGCTTGTCAGAAAATATATGGCCTTTGACTTGATAGCCATTTATGAAAAGAGCTCATTTAAAACAAGGCTGGTAGGAGTCAGGGGAGGGACAGGAGTCATAGAGGGTGGCTCCAGCTTTAATTTGGAAGGGAGAAGTTTTACCAAGGTGACCCTGCAGAACAGAGGTCTTTTTCTTCTTATGTGTTTATGGTTCAGGAGTCTTTTCTCTTGCTCCAGAAATTATTAGAACTGATCCTTCTGCCTTAGCCAATTTAAGAGATGAAAACTTAAAATTACTTGAGCCAAGTGATGGGAAAAATTGTGGTGTCAAGTCCAATTTACTCATACAAAATGGATTTATAGGCAAGTCATTAAGTAACAGGGAGTAGCAAGGAAGCCTAATGAAGACTAATGTAAAAGGTACGGCTCTCCTGAAATGATGGATAAAATGCATTTGAGGTAACCATACTCTCCCCAAATAAGTTTAAATTTTTTTCAGAGATTTAGCAGAAATGTAGATATTCTGTGGGAAAATGGGAAACCTACAACTAGCCTTTCTTCTCCTGTGGCTTAGTCTTCTGAGGAGAAAAACATGCCTTTTCAGAAAAAAGAAAATGAAAAGAGTAAATGATGACAGGTTGTATCAGTTGCAGCCAGGTGTCAAACAAGATGATGCCAGAACTGAGGCAGCCTGTCTCTGCTCTGCCACCTGAGCCACAAAGTGAGCCTGAGCAAGTCCTTCTTAGCACCCTCCCATTCCCAAAAGATGGTATTTCCCAAGCTTGCCAGTTTGCATGAGTCGCCTGTAACTGTGCACAACCCCTAGATGAGTGTGCTTGGGGAAAGTGATGAGAGTGCAGGCTCACGTCCCTGAGCGAGTGTGGACTGCTCCCTTCTGTACCGTTCTCCTTACCGGTGCAGATTTAACTGTACGCCCAAACACCCTCAGTGTCTTTGCCAAGACTTCTGTCCTTTTAGCTAGTGAATTTCCTTTTCTTCAAACTCCACTGTGGTGTCACCTGCAAAAAGCCACCTTTGATCTTCCATGGTTGTGCTAAAGTACGTTCTCTGCACTGTTCTCTTCATACTCATAATTCTGTCCCGTCACATGCAGCCTTTATAAAACTCCATTTCTGTGGCATGTGCCTCCCCACCCCACCCCTAAATTTGTAAGGGCCCAAGGCCATGCCTTACATCTGTGTGACACTTAGTAGGTGCACCTTGAAAGTTTGATGTGTTGATTGCCTTCAGAAAGAGGTTAATGTTAATTAGAATAGAGTCTCCATGAAGATGTTATTTTGGCAGGCTTAGAAGACATGTCTGCTTTTTCAAAACGTGTAGAAATGTAATAACATCTTTAAAGTTACAGGTAGTATGGAACAGCTGAGTCTAGGGCTAGAATTTTTTTCCCTATCATTAACTTTTTTGGGGGGTGGGTGTGAGGAAGTAAACTCAAGACCTTGTGCTTGTCAGGCAGATGCTATGCCACTGAGCTGTATCCATGGCGCCAACATCATTAACTTTTTTTAAAATCTTTTTTATTTATTTAGTACAGTGTCTTCCTGCACAGCTTAGACTCATAGTGATCATCCTCCTAACTCAGCCTCCCCACTGCTGGTGTTATAGGCATGCACCACCATGCCTGGTTTGGGGGCTGGCATTGCATGCAGTACCTGGGTCCTTGTCCTTGGCAAGCAGGTGCTTAGACCACTGAGCTATTTCCCAGCCACTATCACAAACTTTTAGCTCCTTATATTTAATTTGTTTATCCTAACCTGTAAATATTCTGGGATTAGCCAAATTAGTGATAGTTAGAGTAGTTAATCCCTACAGCTATTCCTGTGAACTAGGTTTTCACATCACAATGTATTTTAGTAGTTTTTAAATTGTGAGGTAGACAGTCTTAATCTCAATTTTGTACTGAAGAAATTGGCATAGTGGGATTTGTCCTTTGACAGAAATGATCCTGAGACTTATGTCTTTATCAGGCCCTCTGGGCTTCCTGAAGTGTTCAGCCACAAAGCAGTATGTGTGCAAGATAAATAAGGTAGCTTAGAGATGAATAGTGGTTTTTTGTTTTTGTTTTTTTTTTTGTTTTGTTTTTGTTTTTGTTTTTTTGGTGGTACCAGCGATTGAACTCAGGACCCTGCGATTGGCAGGCAGGTGCTTACTCTACTGAGCTATCTATCTCCCCTGCCCCTAGAGATAAATGTTAAAATTTGTTTTTCACTAAACTCATTAAAGGTAGTGAATCTGTTACCATGTTTACTTTGTGATGTTTCTCTTTGCACTCAAAAAGCATGAATGGTGCAGTCTGAGTCTTGAATGAATAGTAGTTGGAATTTTAGTTATTGAGACTGTGGAGCTTGTCTACAGCCATACCACCCTGAACATGCCCAGTCTCGTCTGATCCCGGAAGCTAAGCAGGGCTGGGCCTGGTTAGTACTTGGATGGGAGACTATGAAATACATATCTAGCATAATGTATATTATATATAGCATATATATTGCATCTATAGATACAATTCAGTGGAAAAGCCAAATTAAAATGTACTGAGCAAAATAATAAGTTGACCATATTTTAAAAATCTTTCAAGAGGGGGTTGGGCCATGGGCTGTCCAAATGGTAGTTTCTGGTTTGTTTCTTTAAACTCAGATACAGACTTTTCCTGGTTAAAAAAAATTACTTAAGTTATGATCATTATTACTCATGCCCTTTAAACAAGAATTTAAATAATTCTTCTAGACTCTTAATTCCTAAGGTCAAAGCCTTTGTATATGATGTGGTTTTGAATTCTGTTGTATAGGATGTGCATGCACGTATGTGTTGAACAAGTAGGAAAAGAGTAACTTAGGTATTTCAGTTTATTCAGACTACTTAAGCTAAACAAACTGACTTTGAGAACATCCAACAATTCTAGACCTGAGTTCAGATCATTGGTTTGGAGTGAAATAAGCAGTGACATTGTGGAGGAATGTTTAATGAATATTTTGATTGAAAACAAGAACCCACCTTCAGTTGTTAGACTCCTTAAAATACTGTATTTGTGCTAATTTTTAAGTCTCAGTGGTACATGGCTACTGAATGTTAGTGATGTTGAATTTTTTATTTTCTTTGTCTTTTTGCAGTACTCAGAATCAAACTCGTGACCTTGCACTTGCCAGGCAGATGCCTATGCCACTGAGCTACCTCCCCCAGCCCATGATGTTGAATTGGAGACAAAAATCAATCTCTATTTTTTTTTTACTCAGATTTTAGTCAAGTAACTCTTTGTTTACCAAAATAACTTTAGAGATCTAGCTCTTGTGTAACTGAAGTTTTGAAAGGAGTGGAGCCACCTTTGTCCAGTGTGATTCATTTGAGTGTATAATGCTGTTTCTCTATTTCGGGAGCCTTTGTTCTTAAATTCTAGAACTGTATCACTTAGTGATCATACGTGCTATGGCCATGACTGCATAATTCAGTCTTTGGTAATTTGGATAATTATACTGCCAATCTCTGCGTCTTCTCAAAGGAGCAGCTAATGCTTAATTTTTTTTTTTTATTCTAATTTCCTGTAACTTTTTTTGTTGTTGCTACTTTGTTTTGAACCAATTTTGTATGCTTGTATCTGGTAACCTAAACAACTAATTTGAAGATAACATCATGCAATGCAGCAACCATTGTTGAATTATTATTACTTTGTTTAGTGAAATTTTGTATTGTTTCTGATGCTTTTATTTTTAAACTATTTTGTATTCTTTAAAAAAAAAAAATTTAATCTAGAACATGGCCAACTGTCTACTTATTATCTGTGCAACCTTGGGCAGGATATTTAACTTTCTGTGTCTGTTTGTAAAATGATGATAAATGGGTAATGAAGCTCATAGATTCATAAATGTGTAATTGTTTTCAGCAACAATAATTTAGGCATTGTTCGTAAGTTTGTCTACATTTTGTAAGTACAAGACTAATTTGAACTCGAATGTCCTGGCACTTTGTGTTTTCATTACATTTCATTACATTACAAATTGTTTATTCTTCCTGTGCCTTTATTTTTATCAGCATAATGGGGCTACTCAGACCTCCCCAGGGTTCCTGTAAAAATTAAATGTGATGGTATTTGCAGAGACTTTAATGGGAGTGCTCAACATTCAGGGAGTGTTCATTAGGCAGTGGAGATGGTAGGGTTGCGATGCACGTGCTGACTTTGTGAGACAGTAGTGACAAGTGGTGTGAGCGGCTGAATACAGGGCTCTCTGAGGAGGCTGTGCTGTGGGACTACGGGGACGAGTGAGCTAATGCGGGTGACGTGCTTAGTGTAGTGTCTGCTTCCTGCTGAACACCGACCGATGTGTAGCTGTCAGGGAGTAGTAGTGGAGTAGTAATACTTGCACCTTAAGAAGTGGCCCTTGGATGGTTGGCTTCTTATAAATATATTAAGGGCTCAAGGGTTTTGTTGACTAATTAGCTTTTGTCTTTATATTTATTGCTCTCTTTCATATTTCTGATCAGGATTTGTTGCAATGAGTCTGCGGAAGCAAACCCCTAGTGACTTCTTAAAGCAAATCATTGGAAGGCCAGTTGTGGTCAAATTAAATTCGGGAGTGGATTACCGAGGTAATATTTTCAAGTTTTATCCTCTCTGTTGTAACTAAGTAAATATAACTTAGTGATTTTCTTTAACCTTGTGATGGTATCCAATAGACCAAAAGAGCATTGATCATTATTTCCATATCCATAAGATGATTCCTTTTAGGGAAAAAAAATGCTTATAGCACTTTATCCTTCTGATTTCCACTATTATTTGTGTGAATTCTGTCCTGTCTCTGTTTGAGATTATATATTCCTAAACTCCCCGATAATAGCCAGGAATTCCTAGTCATTTCAGTATTAATAACTGATCCCCGAGGGAAACCTTGGCTGGCAGTATTTATTTGTACAGATGTGTTCAAGATTATCAAGCAGCTATTTAAATAGTATTGTATACAGTATGAACTTACAACTCATGTAATGTAGGGTATCCAAAGTGGTTTTTTGTTTTTGTTTTTTTAGCAGAACAGGGGATTGAACTCAGGCCCTTGCGCTTGCCAGGGAAGCACTTATTCCACTGAGCCATCTCCCTGGCCCCACCAAAGTGTTCTTGTAGAAAATATTGTTTAAGAGGCTCTGAATTAACTGTGCGGAAGGAATGACATCAAATTTCATTTTTAAGAGTTAATTAAATCCTTAATCTTTACAAATTAAAATTCTTTAATCACTTGGAATACTTCACAGGTATAATCAACATTTTGTGGTCTCATTGTTTTCCACACATACAGACTTAATTTTACTGAGAACTTAAAATGTATCCAGTGTGTGTTAGTCACTATAAATTTATATTTCATCTTTGAATAAATGCTTTGGGATCTGAGCTAAGATTCAGTCTCAACCTTGTCTCAAACAAACCTTGTAAGAAATCTCTGTGCTTTACTGTTTTAGTTTTTTTGACATTAAGATCACCCATTTAATTTGGTTTTTATGTTAGAACAAATGGATTTGTACTGAATACTGAGATAGTCTTGTATGTTGCTTCTTACCTGTGAACTTTTTTTTTTTTTTGGCGGAACCGGGGATTGAACTCAGGCCTCTGTGCTTGCCAGGCAAGAGCTTATTCTACTGAGCCATCTCCCCGGTCCCTACTGTGAACTATTGATGAGCCCTAGGGAGGTGCAGATTTAAGTATATTTGGCAGTGGTGGCATTGTGTTTAATGTCTTCTCAGTACCTATTTTTATGAAGAGATCAGCTATGTTAACCCTTTTTTGTCTGAATTCTTTAGGAAAAAATATTTTCCCTTATAAAAGGAATACATGTTTTAGTTTTTATTTTTAGAAATTTAAGAGCAAATAGTAGAAAAATAATAGAAAAAGCAAAATCTCTGAATTCTACCATCTACAGATAATCTTAGCAATTTCATTTCTCTCTATACGTTTAATTTTCTATACATGGAATCAGTGACACATGCAGTCTGGTTTGTGTTTTATTACACTCAATACATTTAGCTCTGTGACAACATAAGTATCATTGGCTACATAATAATTGCTAATGTGGCTGTATTATAGTTTTATTTTCAGTCAGTCTCCTATTAATGGTTAGGTGTTTATCTTTTTTGTTATTATGAATAACCCTCATTTTTTGTCATAGATCTTGAATAGTTGCTCAACTGTATCTTTAGAATAAAACTCCAGGACTAGGATTTCTGTGTTTGCTAAGTGGCCTTCTCTCAGGTTTTGGATTTATGGACTTAATTGTTTCTTTTAGCCAGTGCTTATGTTGGCTTTTGCGTATCATTTCCAATCTAAGTGGCAAAAAGTGATAGCGCTTTATTTATATTTTCTTTGTTCACAAATGAGGCTGAACAGGCTTTCACGTAAAAACCATAATTTTTCTTTTGTGTTCATAGTTTGTATACTGTATGAACAAAATGTTTTACATTGTCTGGAGAGCTTTACTAAATAAAAGAAAGGACTTCTTTTGAGGTTAAAGAAACTAATAGCTCTGTAGCAGTTTCTCTGTGACCTTGAAGAGAAGGCTTCCTCTGTTTTTTATAGTAGTTTTTCTCTAAAAGGAATTCTAACCAAGTTCCTGGGGAGGTGTCTTCCCCCCCCCCTTGGCGTAAGAATTTTTTCATTAAAAGTGAATGTTATATTTTGATATAATCCTCCTGATTATTCTATTTTCATACATATTTGTATGTTATGTTTTATATTTTCTTGCTAATTTATGGTTGTAGAGATAGCACAGCACGAAGCACACTGTAAAGTTGTATCTTAAGCTTTTTTTCTTTATAGTTCATGTTCCATTCTGGTTCATTGGGAGTTTACTGCTTCTGACAGGATTTTGTTAGGTTAATGTCCTGTACTCTCCTTACACAAACACAATTCTGAAAAGAAACTTTTTCTGCATAGAGGATAATGAAGGCAGAGGCAGAGAGTGAGGAGCATATTAATGAAGTTAAGCCTATAAATGAAACTATTGACTCAATCAGTTAATCAAATTGAATCTGATTGTATTCTTTGCTTCTTTCCCCTCCCTCTCCCCCTCTAAAATGATGCTTAACTGAGTGTTAGCAACTTGCACATTTTCATCCTGAGGGAGGGAATCAGGTGGTTAAATTTTGCAACATTTGTACCATCTTCTGAGGGGATAATGCTAATGTACAATTAGCATTATCCCCTCAGAAGTGCTTCCTTTAGAGCGCCCCAGAATGCTTGTCACTGCTGTTCTCCATGAGTTCTGATTTGGAGATACTCTGCTGTCACAGAACAGAGCGGGGTGCATTGCAGGGCAGTATGTTGCCCTGCATTCTCAAGCTGCTCCTCACTGGGTCACAGCTTTGAGATGGTCTTTCAGGAGCACCTGCTGTCTCCTCCTCTATTATTTTAACAGATTGTGGAGACTTCCTCTTAACCCTAGAGTACATTCATCTGCTGCAGTAGATGTTGTGAAAGAGTGAAATAAATCTGCCAGACCCATATTTCACTTAGTGGCTAAAGTAAGAAATGCTGCTAGAACCAGGATCGTTTGTCCATGCATAATTGCCCACCCCTGTCTTCAGCTCCAAGAGAATGGCATTTCATGTGGAAGATTCTCATTCTGTTACTTTTGTGAAGACGGTAGAAGTTTCTGTGGTGCTCATACATACCAAGAAGGAAGTGACAGTTTGTCGCCTGTCCTCTTGTAGTGGGTGCATGACTGCCTTCACAGTATGCATTTGCTAGCCTGCCTTCAGACTGGCACAGACGAACGACCCATTTTGTGTTTAAGTCTATTGGGTTTTATTTACAGTGTGAATTTTTATGTTTGGCATCTAAGAGTGAATGAATAAAGGGATTGTCAGTTCTAAGATACACCCTGTAATTTCCAGCTCCCATTTACTTTGTATATTATTTCAACTATTTGTCTCCAGGGGTCCTGGCTTGCCTGGATGGCTATATGAATATAGCCCTGGATCAGACGGAGGAGTATGTTAATGGACAGCTGAAGAATAAGTATGGGGATGCATTTATCCGAGGAAACAATGGTAATATTTCTTTTTTATTTTTATTTTTTGGCAGAACCGGGGATTGAACTCAGGCCCTTGCACTTGCCAGGGAAGCGCTTATTCCACTGAGCCATCTCTCTGGCCCCATTATTTCTTCACTCTCTAATTGTACAGTATTCAAAAAAAGCCTTTTTGTGTGCAGTGAGGAACCCTAGTTTTCTAGATAACTTAAAACTTCAGTTTTAGTCTTTATTTTGTTTTATAAGTACTTATATCTCACAACTTCAGTGTCATTGTTCTTTTTTAGATGGAAAATGGAATTTTCCATGGAATTAGAAATACTCTTTCCCTCTTTAATGATGAAGAATAGAAGAGCTTTGGTATGCAGACCTAGAACTCTGTTCTTTTAAATTCATTTATTTTATCCCCTCAGTATACATTCTCTTCCATTGGGCCTAGAAAATGAGGAGTAAGGAGGGACATTACTTCCTTGCTGTCTTTAATTGACATGATTTGGTACCTAACTTTCACTGTTTATCCTTTTTCTATTAAATGTTTAGATGCTGTTTGTGGAAACTTGTATCTTTTAGTTAGGCAAAAATGATGAAATAGGTGCAGTTTGAAGTTATGCAGCCTGGGCTGGGGAGATGGCTCAGTAGAGTAAGTGTTTCCTGGGCAAGCACAAGGTCCTGAGTTCAATCCCAGGTTCTGCAAAAAAAAAAAAAAAAATGGAGTTATGCAGCCTTTTGACAGTTGACACATTGGTGTGATCACTGTGATTATTTTTAAGTCACCTCATTCAAAACACAAATTGTCAGTAAATTCATATTTAAATTTTTAGCAGGAACGAATAAATATCAAAATTACAGGAATCATCTGTTGATCCCTGCACCCCCATGGAGCTCTGGAATTCTTACGTTCAGATATTTTACTGATTTTAGCTCTGAGTAAGGAAATCTTCAGACCTTTAACAGTTGGATCTTTTTGATATAAACTAAGTATCAGTACCATACTTCTTCACATCATATCTTTATAAAAATCTTTTGCTTGTTTTTAAGTCCATCTCTATGGATAAGGTTTATTCCTCTATTTTTATGTTATTATTTGACTTCCTCCTTTTCCTGAGAAATGTTCCCATCTCACTTTATCACAAGACAGTGACAGTGCCTGTCCATTACAGGTGACAGGGTCTCCCTTTCATATGCACAGTATACAGACATGAGAATCTGAGCATGCCTGGGGACAGGAGAGGAATTTCATCTTACTTCACATACCACTTGTCCTACTGAGTTCCGTTTGGTGGTTTAGGACTAATTAAAGCTTTGGGTAACAACAAAGTTTGAGACTCTTGTCAGAAAACTCAGAATAGGGACTTTGGTATCTCTTGAAAAAGTGTTCCTCAATTTTTGTTTATCATGTTAAAATTTTAAAGGTAAACAGCAAGTTCAGAGTTTATATCGGGGACATGGATAAAAGCATGCTATTTATTCTTAATGATATATCTAAGTATAAAGTATTCTTAGCTTTCAGGAACTTTTGCTTTTATTTTATTCTATTTGAATTCCTGGACATAATTTGTAAAGGCAATGAGATGTTTAGATAAGTTCAGACATAGTAATATGACATCAAAGCCAGGTCCAGATTAATAAAACTAATCATTTAATTATTTATTTACATATTTATTTGGTACAGGATCTCACTCTGCAGCTCGGACTCATAGTGATCCTCCTGTCTGTCTCCCCAGTGTTGGGATTATAGGCCTGTGCCACCACACCCAGCTTCAGTGGCCAGCTTAGTGAACCTGGGGTTCTGGGGCCGACACAGCATGCAGTACTGGGGAACAAACCCAGGTCCCTATGCTTGCCAGGCAGGCGCTTAGACTACCACGCTCTCTCCCCAGCCCTAATAAAATAGTGGCCCCAGAATTGTATAGTATGAGAATTCCTTTTAAATTTGTAGAGCTGCCAGGACGAAATCTGTTTGCTTTTACAACTTGCAGCTGTGATTCTTAAGAGCAGTTGTTAAAAAATCTGTTTGTTTTTTTCTTTTCAGTATTGTACATAAGTACACAGAAGAGAAGGATGTGAAGACACCGAGGAAGCAATTCTTTTCATAGTTGGAATATATTTTTTATGAAATGTTTTCTATTTTTTGGTTCTTTTGTGATGTAAGTTGTCCTACCTTCATAATAGTTGGTGGTTTGGTTTTTTTTACTGACTTTTGAGTGAGGTGATTGTTTAGAATTATGGATTGAATTATAAAGAGCTTTTCACATTTACGTTTCAGTAGTCATTTTCTTTTACTTCTGTGTCAGTTTACAAAATGCTAAAAGAATAAAAAATACAAATAAAAAAGCCCAAATCCATTGCTCCTACTAGGTTGTTTAACTTAAACTTCAGGCAGTGTCATTTTATTGGATCTACTTTACCTATCAGCTGACTAAAATGGTATGTACTTCAACATACAACTAAAACATTCTAGAGGTGTTCCCCTCTACCCCTAACACATCCCCCATCCAGAAACCACACAGAAAGTTGGGTAACGAGCCGGGGAGATGGCTCAGTAGAATAAGCGCTTCCCTGGCAAGTGCAAGGATCTGAGTTCAATCCCTGCTTCCGCCAAAAAAAAAAAAAAAAAAAAAGAGAGAGAGAAAGTTGGGTAAAATGTTCTTTGAAGGCGTCCAGTTTCAGTCTGAAACTATAAAAATGGGCCACCAGGCTGGAAGGTCAGCTGCTGATTCAGTCGCCAGTGGCACTTCCATGAAAGGAATTGGTTTGAGTTTGAGTTTACCATGTCTGTTAGGTGAAAGCTTGCTTCCGAGCAGTCACCCTGTAACTTCTTTTGTGAAGTAAGACTAAATTGTCTTGCTCTCTTAGGAGTATTGGCACCAGCATTAATCAGTGCACACAGGAGAAGGGGAGCCACCCTTGGGCATCTCTAGTAGTCATTTCTGTTGAAGGAAGACTTGGTCTGTTCCCTCATTTAGGTTTCTGAGCTGTACCTGGGAAAGAGTTTCTCCTAACCCTTGCCTCGCAAGTGACTCTGAGGAAGCCTTTCTCTAAAATCACCTATATTCAAACATGACTGCAGACTGTCCTGTTGGCGTGAGGTAGCGCGTCCACATTACATGACTCAGGCTTTGCACAATTTATTAATGAGCTTTTCACCACCCCACTTTATTCTGCAAACAGTTTTAAGCTGTTTAGGAGCAGTAAGTATACCCGGGTGCTGCGGCTGAAGGGACACCAGACGGTGCGAACGTGGTGCTGGCTTGCTCTTCCCTCCCCAGTATAGCAGAATCCCCGATGGAGGAGGCGGCGGTAGGGTTTCAGGTAATTGCCTGATGGAAGGATGTGGGAGCAGGAGGAGGCCAAGGCATGTTGCTGGCTCTGGAGCGGTGTATTGGCATTTGTCTTGTTTTATTTTAAAGATCAGAGAGTAATTGGAAAAATTATTTTTTAATTAATAACTTGGGAGGTGAATGGAAACATTTCACAAGACTTCATGTGTGCACACTGCAAATGAAACACTTTGTGCTATGCTTCAATAATTTATCACTTCTCGACAAGGGCTTGAAAAGGGTCCGGTCTGTAAGTACAAATCACCAATTTGCTCTTTTATAAATGACTTCTTTTGAGGAGAAAATGGAGGTCCCCCCGAGTGGGGCGCACATGCTCCCACTGTGTGGTAGCGTCTGTGTGGCTGCCAGGTTACTGCATCCCTTCGTTCACTCACGGCAGCCCTTGTCCCCCGCCGCTCTGAGCATCCTGTTTTCTGCTAACTTCTTCCCTGACCTGCCTGACAGCATATAAGTCTTTATTTTCCCCTTGCCATCTCTTCAGCTTAATAGCACTACAGTAGAGCAGTGTTTTCATCCATGGAACTACTTTTAATCAAGATTGACTTTGGGAAACGCTACCATTTTTATGGTAATAAAGGACTGTATTATGCACTTGGACCAGCGCAAGTTGTCCCCTGTGTGTACCTTCACGTCGTGGAACCATGAAACAAAGTGTAAATGCTAAAATTACTTTTTTCTTAACTGTAGTCTCCTAGAGGTCAGTAAATGATTTCCAATTGCATTGTAGCGAAGACATTTGTTCTAGGTTGAAGAATTTTTCACTTGAGCAAATACATTCTCGCTGACGCTGCCCCCAAGCCCTGACTGCCTCGCTCTTTCTCCTGGGCTGTGACAAAACAGAATGTTTAGTGGGAAGCAAAATTGTGCTTGATTTGTAGACTATCTGACTTCACATTCTGTTTTGGTCTTTGAGCTATTCCTTGGCTAATCTTCCAACAAGTTGAATTGATTCTTGCTTCAAAACTGTTTATCCCAAAACAGAGCTGTTGACAAGTACAAATACAGATGGTAGACATGTGGTCTGATTTTTATGTTCTCAGCATTCAGAGAGGGAATGTTACTGAGAAATGGTTTACATCTTGAGTCTCTTGTTCAAGGCAATATGTAATGCATGTTGGGAGTTCCTAATTATGTGGCAAGTAGTACCAAATGCTTAAGGGATTTCTTGAGCATCGACTTGGTGTGTAAAGCTTATTACTCTAGAGGCTGTAATTAGTTCATAAGAATAGAAACTTAGCAAGACCCTGACTCTAAGAAATAGAAAATAGAAAAGTCTGGGGATATAGCTCAGTGTGAAGGTCCTGGGTTCAATCTCTGTACCAGATGCGTACACACACACAAAGAAACAATCAATGGGAAAAGTGGATAATCACACGAAGCGTACCCACTGTGCCGTTCATGGAGGAAGATCTGTTCCCTCAGTGCACAGATACCATGTTTGTGTGGGCCTCTGTCCCCAGAGCAAATCATCTAGAAATGGAGCTCATGTTTCTATTCAGGAGGCAGCTCCTAGCCCCTTCTGTGACCTTGGCTGTTCTCCACAACCTAACTGCATTAACCCTTGCTTCTTATTTCCCTCCTGAAATAGAAATCACTTTGAGAGCAAAGCAAACCACAGGTCTCTGCCTGCTGTTGTTTTAGGAGGCTCTGCTCAGCAACAGGGCTCAGAGCAGCAGGACTCTGCCTGGTGTAAGGTTGCCCCAGTCACTGTGCAGCCAGACACCTCCAAGTGGCAGGATTGGCCTTAACTTCACTGGGATCTACGCGTCCAGCAATGACTGGTTCTGGTAGCCACTGCCTGTTGGTGCCCCAGTGCATGGCAGTGTAACCCTAAGTGTCCACCATTGCCTATTAGATCTCAGGTGCCTGAAGAAGCAGGGGCAAGATCCTGGAGTAGACAGTGGTAAATGCTATATAGGATGAAACAGTGGAGGTAGCCCCAGTGACCCCTGCTCCGATCCTGTCTGCCTACTTCCTTTAGAAGGTGGAGGAAGTGCCAGGGAGTAGGGCTTTGAGAAAGGGGTGGCGGAACAATGGAGAAGAATCAATTGGATATTTATGGGAGACAATTGTGCCATACCTTTTTTTTGGCCCCAAATGGTGATATTTCTGTTTAGAATCAGGACACATCAGGGGAGTTTGAGAATCTCAACTGTATGCTAACGTTCCAGAGAAACTTTACTGGATAATTTTGAAATCCAATTTCCATTTATTTTCTGTTTCTTCGCAGGCTAATGTGGTTCAGTATTGTATACCGCAACCCCTTACCGGGGATTGAACTCAGGACCCTGCACTTGCCAGGCAGGTGCTTATTCTACTGAGCAATCTTCCCAGCTCCTCTGTATGCTTTTTTTTTTTTTCCTCTACCTCACAGAGTTGGAAGGCTGATACATCTGCAGTGTTGAAGGATTTTCTTAGTAATTTGACAGTTATAGCAGATAGAAAGATGGACTCATTCTAGAATGTAGTCACATCATAAAACACTGGAATAAACTAGTTGTATTTGTAAAGGCTACTTTACAAAAGTGTTCATGTCTGAACTCTTAATTACAAGCCTTATACTGGAATGGATGTTGGGTTTGACAAAATATACCTATACTGGATTAAGAGACCAATTTAGAAAGTTTACATAAATAATTCTAGATGAAATATTTTTATCATCATATGTATATAATATTCCAGGTCACTGTTCAGCATTTCTAACAAATAGAAGCCTTATTAAACTTGCAACAAAGAAAAGATTAATGATTTATAATATGTACAATGGGTAGGTGATACTAGGACATCGAATATTCTCTTCACCAAGTGGTATATCACAAGCAGTCTCCACATATGATTTTCACTTGTACACCTTGTCCACAGTGGTCACCTGAGGCCCAGGATTGGGGCAGTTCCTGATGTTCCTACCGCTTTGGCATGGGACTTACGCCTTGCTGCCATAGGAGAGGGCATGAGAGATCACCTCCTGGCCCTTGCCTGCTTTAGCTTATAATGGTGCCAGTCACTTCCATTTTTTTCACCAAAGCAAGTTATGTGGGCAGGGTTTAGTTTGAATTTTGAGGAAAGTATAATAATCCTTTCATGGACTCATAAATATCTGTTAACACTGGTAATACAAATGTATACATACTAGTCATGCATCTCCAGAGGAACAGTGATGGGATGTGTATAGACAAGGGTGGAGATATATATATAGATATATATATATATTTTTTCTTATAGGATACTTTAACTCCCAATGCACATTCATTCACTCAATGACAGACTAAAAGGTACATTCTTTTATGATAAGCCAGAACATCTATTATCCCAATAATACAAAAAGATACAAAATTAGTATTAAGGAGCTTTCTTAATTAAAATTACAGAAATATATATATCCTTTTATTTCCACTCCACCCTTTGGCTGAATTTTGTTAATATAATATCTGCCCTTCTTAATTCTTCTCTTGCGAAAAGCATCACTCCCTAGTCACTCACACCGTGTGCTCCTCCTCGACCCCTCCCCACCTGTACTCATGAACTATTAACAAGATTTTTTTGTATTTCTCTGGAATCTCTTCTTCGTTAGAGCTCTCTTTTGCAATTTCATTTCTTCATAAGTGTGGCATGTGAGATTTTAACTATTCCATTCCAGTTTTTTCTTCAGTCAGTGGTAACAGCTCCACATCTGTTTGCTTTTGTAGTTCTTGTATCATGGTCAGTCTTAATTCAAAGTAGTATAAATGTGACTTTTAGTCTCTTTCTGTTCAAGAGCAACAGGATTAAACCATGCATATGAAGTTTAGTATGAAGACTTTATTGCTGACAATTCCTTTAAGAGTGTTACTGGACTTTTCTCTCCTGAATCGTGATGAATAGACTTGATT